TTAAAAAAAATGAATTTTTAACGACTTCAATAAGAAACAAATAAATTAATTATTCCAAGTTATGTTATAAGCAATATTGCCAATCAAATTATAGATATAAATTATGTCATATTATATTAAATTTCGACCAAGAAGAAAATATTTTGGCATTTAAAAATTTAGTGCATATTGGATATATGAAATTGACGTTCAATATTTTTAAATTAAATGCAAAAGTAAAAGATCTGATATTTATATAAAAAAATTATATATTTAGATAATGGTACTGCGTTGGTTCAGACTAAAATCTAATTTATACATTGATTAAAAAAAGTATTTCACTATTTGACATAAATAATAATAAAATAAACAAAACACTATGATGCGTTGGAATTACTTATCGAAATGTAAAGAAATTTGTGTAATAAAAATGTAACATCATTATTATTATTATATCAAGTATATTATAAGAACTTCTGCAAAGCGGCAAAATATTTTTGAGTGCAAAACAACGTTTTCCGGGTCAGCTAGTATATATATACACACATTTTTATTCATTTTGTGCTTAGCTTATAAAGATGAATGTGAATACCATATTTTGTAATCATATATGTAAAATATTATGTGAAAAATAAATGCTTGTTAAAATTTAATTTCATTATTTTTAAATTTTGAGTTTAAACTATATAATAAAGGTGCATTCCTATAGTACGCACCAGCACTACGGTCGACGCGTGCGCACCAAGGGAGAGCATCTTGAACTAACCCCGGCAACGTGGCAATAAAATATGGCCCGAGAGAGCGATCTATATACTCTTCTTTTATCTATGAAGAGAAGTCTTAGGGTCAATAAAGCTCGACTGAGTCATAAAAAACTCGTGCATTTTGCTGCAAATGTTCGAAAATCTTATCTATTAATTAATAATTGTACTTAATTTAAATTATGTGAACACGTTTTTTTGATATATTTTATTATTTATATTTAATTATTGCTTAAATTTTAGTTTTATTTTATTTTTAAATGTTTTTAATGAAATTAATAAAAATGTTGAAAATTGACACTAAACTCTCTATGTTCTACTCTATTTTTATGTACATATGTTTTGTGTCAATCTACATATGTTATGTTATCTATGCTTTTTGTAATATTTGTAATGCATGTGATTAGTTTAAAATACATAATCAGTTAGTCTGTGTTTATCGTTCTGCATGAACGGTTGCTTTATTATTCACTTAAAATTTAACATAAATTATACAGGTTATGGGCCCATGTGGGCTTTGTCAGCAGAAATTTTTTTATCTTAGAAGAACTAGCAGAATGCATTGTAGGGCCAAAGCACGAAGCAAAAGTTGATTTGATCAAAGATAAAAAAGCGAGAGCAAAGTTTATATTAACATTAGATACAAGTTTATACGTACATATAAAAGAAACAAAAACCGCAGCCCAGCTGTATTCACAATTAAGGGCGATGTATTGTGTTTCAGGTTTCACTCAAAGAATTAGTTTCCTAAGGACATTAGTTTTCGCCGATGATTATGGCGGTTGAGCATTCCGGCATAGCCATTACAACGGCCGCAATAAAAATGAAGCTGCTGGATATAGGAAACGATGTTCCGTCTAATAATGAAGAAGACGCTTTTGTAGCAAAATAAAATGGCAGGTACAAGCAGCGCCAACATGCAAATTCAAATAATTCTGATACTAAAAAGAACGTTAGATGTTTTAAATGCAAACGATTTGGCCATTATAAAAATGAATATCATTTCAATACCGTAAATAATGAGCCTGATAAAAATGCATTTAAAATAGTTTTTTCAACTGGTATATACAATAAAATAGACTAGTACGTTATTTCGGAAGCCAGTACCCTGAAAATAAAAAACCTGATGCGCAAAAAGTAAGGACAGCTAACAATATGCAAATGAAGGCAGTGTCTTGTGGCAACGTTTCACTTAAAACAGAGGGCTATGGTCAAGAATATGATGTTGTTGTACAGGATGCCCATTATGTACCACAATTAGCAACTAATTTATTATCTGTTAGTGCTCTTACTAGAAACGGTAAGAGTGTTGTATTCAATGACAATGAATGTAAAATTTACAACAAAGATAACACTTTGGTTGCAGTGGCGTTACTTACAGCAAACTTATAATAAACTAGTAGGGTGTATGGCATCATGCCATCAGGCAAATTGCTGGAACTTCCCATACCGTAACGATATATTCGACAAATATTAAATGTTTTCAAATAGATTATTATAAATATTGTAACATTGTCTAATATTTATAAGAATTATATAAACTGAATTGCAAAGTTGAAATTATTTGTTTAAAGTATATTAAAAGTTTAGTCAGAATTAAAAATAAAATCCGAATTATTTTCGATATACAAAAAAAAATTTTTTTGAAAAAAAATTGAAAAAAAAAAATTGGAACAATTTTTTTTTCCAAAATCAATTATTTTGTTAAAACCAACAGAAAGTTCTTTGAAGCATTTAAATCGAACGCTTAGTTTTCTCAAAAACTGCCATTTTTTGCATATTTAGCTCTGTATCTTTGAAATGACTGGGCTCACCTTTGCCAATAACTAACAACCATTTCTCACAATCATTACTAATTGAATGCTTTTTAGATCATTCAAATCGGATGCTTCGTTCAATCAAAAACTCGATTCCTATTTTGTGCATCCTTTGCTCTTTATCTCCGTAACTCCTTTCCTTTTCGATTTGCTAGCATAGGTAATGTAGATTTAAGATGGTTCTTAGGAATTTCCATTACTTTTGCACTTCTGAATTGGCAAACTGATTTATTGATAAATCGCGCTCTGTTTGGTTTATGTTTAGAGATTTTGGCTGTACCTCTGATTGCGCGATGGTCATATGGGTAGTTCAGATTCAAGACTTTGAAGATCGTATCTTGTAAATGATCGTATTTGGTTTGTAAAAATATAATCAATCTCGTTTTTATGTCCATTCGGCGACTTCCAGGTCCATTTTCGGTTTTGCTTTTTCTTAAAGCTTACTATAGGTATTTACTATTGTGAGGTTGTGTACGAGCGCAAAGTCAACAAAGACCTCCTACGTCTATATTGAGTAGGTATGGCTAAATGCTCCGATATACCAGTAAAGCTTTCTATGTTATTTTTTATGAAACCTACTCCGTATTGACCTGCTGACTGTCCTATATAGCAAAGAATAAAGTTATCATATTTATTAATTTCACAACCTTGACGTCTTACCTCTAAAATTCTTATTATATCATATTTTATAGTGCCTAAACATTTTTTTTAATTCTAATAGGCGTTCGTATGTTGATAGAGTCTTGACATTGTATATTAGTCTGATGTTTGGTGTTATAGTTTTCTTTTGAGGTTTTTGGTCATTATCCTCCACGGTGACCAACCGGGCTGGAGAATTTGTTATGTTATGTTTCGCTGAATAGTTGTTTGTTGAGTTTATATGGAGAGGGGCAGCTGTTTGATATGCATTGCTTTTTGTAGTTTTTTGGCTTTGTGCTGTATTTTTTGTTAGGAAATTTAGCATGCTCGGTTTGATTACTCCTTTGGGAATGCTGTTAGATGTTCTCAGCGATATCTCCTGATGTTGTGGCTTATTTTTTTTTTTGTATAATACTTTCTTTTGCCGTGTCCTGTGAGAGTTTTGATGGCGAGGCCGAAAACTTTCTTTTGGATGTTTGTTTAGGTATGACTAATTTGTCATATTTTAGGAAAGCCATGTTACCATTCTCTCTCTCCATTTTTCGCTATTCTTGTAATTGTCTTCTTTTTTCTAAAATCTGTTTAGAATAATTTTCCTTCATATAGTAGCACGTGTCGCGCGGTGCCTTTTTTGTTTGAAGATTTTTATCTTCGTGCTAAGATTTGACAAAAATACCAGAGTTGGTCGTGGTCTATCACCCTCTTTTCCTAGCCTTCTAACTACTTGTATATCGGCAATTGCTAATTTGATTAAAAAGTGTAGATCTAATCAATTGAGCATATGTTTTTATAAAGTGTCGTATGAAGATTCCAGTTCTTCGATTCCGAAAAAAACTATGTTTCTTTGCCTCGCCTGTCTGCGTAGGAAGTAGATTCTCTTTTCTTGGTTCTTTACTATTTTCTTGAGTTTCACATGTTTCTCGTCCAAAGCAACAAAAATTTTCTCTAATATCCTGTTGATTTTTTGTGTAACCTGTTCTGTAAGCTTTAATACACTGTTACGAATCTCGTTTTTCTGATTGTCAAGTTCCAGCTGAATTTTTTTAAGAGCTTTCATAATTTCATCCATGATTATTTTGGAATTAAAGTTATAGTTTGTTTTTTGTAAGTTACACCCTATAGTGGCGGCGATGCTCTGTCACCGATACTATGCGTGCTTCCTGTGAAAAAGGAAGTCCTCCTTATTTCTAAAAGATGGAGTTATTTATGCAAAAACACGGTAATATGGCTTGACCGGTCGTGAAGGTGTTGGTACTCGGATTGGTCGCTCACTATTTACAGGTCATTGTCTAAGAGGGCCGCACACACGTCGTGTTTACACAAACAGCAGCAATTCCGCTTTGACTCACACGATGGTGTTGGTACTTGGGTTTCCCGCTCACCGCTGACAGGTTATTATCTAAGATGGCCGCACACACTCCGTGTTTACACAAGCAGCCCAAATTTCGCTTTGACTCACACTATAGTTGTTCGCAGGGTAAGTTATAGTAATCGCAGAAAAATCGAAAATAATTTTTTTTTATATTTTTTTACGGTTCAAAGGTTTCTGAGTATTTTGGCATACATCAGAAAAAATGTATGTATGCGTGTGTATGTGTGTGTTTTTTTTGTATAGCAAAGAAAATGCCATTATGCATCCCAGACTGGTGTTCTGTCTGGCTATGTCGGACTCAATACCACCCTGGTATAATTCCGACTAAAATCTCCGCTTTGCCCTCGCCCCTGGTCACAACGGAAACCGCCGTTACGCATTATTTTGTGGGGGCAGGATCTAGAATGTTATAGTCTTTTACTTGATTGTATACTAATCTTTTAAATAGGCTGAGCTATCGTGCTTGAAGCGATGAAGGTAGGCTCGAAGACAGCCGTGCCTAGATAGCATTTGCGTAGTATAATGATTTGCTTTTCCATGCTTGCGACTTAGCCAGACTTTGATGTTAGGAATGAGACGATGCATCCATCTGCCCTTCACAGCGACATCCCACAGTTGCTGCCATCGGTCAATGCTATTCTGCCGTTCTTCTAATTCCAACTTTTCAAGACTCAGTTGCTGATATCTTCTATAGTAAATTGTCCGTCTTTTCTCTGCTAAGACTAAGAGAGGCAATGTATAGATCCTGCCATTCTCCTCGATTTTTGAGATTTGAGAGCATCAGCACATATAAAGATACCATATGTCAGCACAGAAGTAACCACTGACGATAGAAATATCCTTCTGGTTTGTTTAGGGCCTCCAAAATTAGGCATCATAAGAGCAAGACTAGTCCTAACTATTGACGCTGTAGCACTAACATGTTCCACATGTTGATTAAAATTCAATCGAGCATCACGCATTACACAAAGGTAACAGATGTGAGGTTTTGACGTGATAGCTTGACGGTCTCTATTGTTTTTCTACTCGTGATAAGAACAGCTTCACTTTTTTGTTGTGCTAATTGGAGGTTCATTGTTTCCATTCAGCGATTAATTTTATTAAATGTTATATCAAATAGACTTACGATCTCATTAATTTGTTTGGAGGTAACTACTATGGCAACATCGTCTACATATGCTACTAGTTTCACACATTCTGGAATCTCTAGTCTCAAAAGGCCATCATACATAATATTCCACAGAAAAGGGCCTAGAACAGAGCCTAGAATTTATTATTATTAATACTAAGGTTTAATTTAAAAAACTTAAATATTTTCGTTACAGCAAAGCCATATACTAAAACATCGAATTTACATGTTATATAAAAATAGCAATATAAAAATATATAGTTACATAAAAATGTTATGAAAAATAAAAAATCAATTTTCAGGTTTGGTTTAAAAACATTATTACAAGACAAATGTTATGAGAATTTTATGAAAAAATATTAACCATTAAAAACTATAATAAATGTAACTGATTTTCTAAAATTATACGATTTGGCGCATGTTGCAAGTTTCTTTTAATATATACCTGTCTATATTCTGCAATACATCCCGTATATACATCTGTTATATTATAAAAGCAGTGGCCTAACAATAAGCGATTTTCATAGCATTACTTGATCCTTTCTGACGTCAGACCTAGGTTTTAGGTACCTGCGTACGTTCGATTTTGAGAACGAACGAATTTCTATATCGTTGAATAACTCACTGGCCGCCATGTTTTCAACTATTTCGAAACCATTTGATTTTCAACTAGTTATTTTGTTGCCACGAAACGGTTAGTTCGTCAACGAAGAAGAAACGGTTGAAAATAACCGTTCGTTGATTCAACGCCCATCACTACTGTAAAGTAGCTTGCTACTATATTGCAGAGGTATGCAGATACGTTCTTGTCACGGAGTGCATTCATAATGCAATCCCAGTTTGCAGAATTGAAAGCATTTTTTATATCCAATGTAGCTACAAAACAGTACTTCTCCGTACCCCCTTCCATCTGGTTCCAGCAATTGCTTCTATGGCGGTACTAACTACCAAGTTTATAGCATCGATAGTTGATCGTCCTTTACGAAAACCATACTGATTGTCTGCTAGGATTGGGTCAACTGCTGCATCTATTCTTTGGTGAATTATTCTCTTAAAAATTTTACCCGCTGTATACAGCATGCATATCGGACGGTACGATGATGGCTCATCTGTTGTTTTTTTTTCCTTGGGAAGAAGCACTAATCTTTGCTGTTTCCATTTTCGTGGAAAACCCCCTTCTTTCAGGCATGTGTTATAGGCATTAAGAAACATTTTCGGTGATGTCATAATTGTCATAAATGTTTTTAAGGCAATATTATGAATTCCATCTAATCCAGGTGCCTTACAATTTCCAACCCGATGACAAGCTTCCATCAGTTCCTGCAGTGTTATAGGTGGAATATGATTCAGTTTTACATGTGTTACCTGATAGTTCAAATTAGGTTGTTGTGGGAATTAAGTAGTTACTATTTGATTCAATAGTCGTGGGCAAGTTGGCGAAACATTACAATCTTATAAGGCGTTCCTCATGGGTTTTCCTAGACTCCATCCAGGAGTTTTTTCCAGCACTCTCAATAAAAATAAGTTAAAAAAATGCCATTTGGCGGTCAAAAATGTTCATAGGACATATATGTACATCCAATTATCACATATTTTATAGAGATTTTAATAATATGTACACATTTTGTGAAATTTTTTTTGGGTTTCGTACCAAGATTTTTAATTTTAAATTTTACGTATATGGTTCAAATAAATGTCCTCGACATGTTCAACAGTATGAAATAATCGATTTGTATTATTGAACAAACATTCGGTACTCGATCGCGAGGCGTTTTCGCAAAAAGCACATCCTGCCGCTCCGCAGATATGGAGCGCAAAGGGTGTAAAAATGGTCATGCAGTTTTTGGGAGAACGGATCATCCGATTAGAATAATTTAAAAAACCTTTTGCTTGTCTAGGCAGTGTGCAAAAAATGGTTTTACAAAAAATTTCGTTGTTTTGAAAATTTTCAAAAATAATTCAACATTTTCAAAAAAATATTAAATTTTCAGAAAACTCAAATTTTAAAAATTTTCCATCATTTTGAAAAAAATATCTAAATTTCGAAAAATTTGAAAAACATCAAAATTAAAAAAAAACGATTTCTTACAAACATTTGAGAATATTTTGGAATAATAATCAGGCATTTTCAAAAATTTTAAAATTCACAAAAAATTAAAAAAAACGATTTTTTTTTAATTTCAAAATTACCAAAAAAAAAACAAATTAAAAAAAGAGTGTGCGTAAGGTTCACTCGCGATTGAAGTAAAACTTATTTGCTACTGTACAAAGTCTCATTCTTTGAACAGCTGTAATATCTGTCTTGCCCAAAAAATATTTTCCATTTTAATAACTTCAAAGATTTATAGAAACTACGAATAATATAGAAATAATTTTTAATAAACATACGTTCAGTACACGGCACAAATGTTTCATTTGTTTTATTATTTTCAAAGAACAGGGTAATATATTCTTCTGATTCAGACATTTTTCATTAAATCAAGATTTGTACCACGATGTAACTTTAATATATTTATTTATCTATGCCGATTTCCTTGTTGATATCGGTACGCATACAACGTTGATGCCGGTACGCATACAACGACAGATCTCTATTCACATGCACGACGACCAATCACAATCGACCTCTATTGAAATGATTTCATCGAGAAAGAATGACGTACAGTTTGGGCGTAACGCTATTTCCGTTGCATTTGTACGGATTTACACTCTATTCGCGCCTAAAGAAGTTTTACTTCAAAAATTAAAGTAATTTCTTGTAAGCATACACATAAGTTGTTTGTAGAATACGCTCATCGCCCAATAAGCACATATAAAATTACACTTTTACAGTATGTATTTATAATAAATAATCTATTTGAAATTATTTAAAACAATTATTGATTATTTTCATTTCTCTAATTTTTAATTACGGCACGGAAAGTTCCAGCAATTTGCCTTAAGTCACGATGCCATGCGCCCCACTGTTTTTATTTTGACTGGCGCTCCTACAAAAAAAAAAAAAAATAAAAATGTTTCTATGGGGTTTTGATATAATTTCACCTTTTGCACAATCTTTAATTAGCATTCAAGACTAAGACTAATCAAACCTGTTCAGCCGTTTTAAAGTCTTATAATGCCTAACATTTTACCTAGCTCCATTTTCATATCATTTTCATTAAAAATTTTGCTCGGCTTTTATGAAAATTTTAAAACAAATTCGATTTTTTGAGTATTTTGATAATTGACAATATTTCAGTAAATTTTAGTTTTAAAAATTGTTGAAAAGTTTAATTTTGGGTCATAAGGTTTATTTATTTTTTTACATATGTAAGTGTTTTATGCGGTAAGGTTGCCCCAATACAAAATTTGAATGATAAAATTTGCTGTGCATACTTACAATAATCTATTTAGGAGTATTTATTAATGGTTGGTATCTTCGTATTAGCAAAACTAATAACTAACAAACAAACTACCGTCAAAACTATAGTTCAAGTGTGCCAATCATATTCTAATATTGTGTAGGGTGCCGATGAATCGCGGTGTATCGTGTGATGCATGAAATCATGCCATGTGCGCATGCGTTCATTTTTAATACGACATCAATGAATACCCCATGAAGCCAAATTTGACGTTTCTTAAATGTGCACGAGGATTTGTTGATAATATTGACAGTTTAATTGTGATTTACTTATTAAAATGTATAAGGAAAAAATATATTCACAGTGTTATATGATCTGTATGCTGAAAATATATGCACAGTGTTTGTAAAGACCGATGCAATATTATTTATTCAGTCCAAATATGAAATTTAAGGTATTTATTTTACTATTGATAATTTTTAAAGGTATTTAAATGTAAATATTAAAAGCGATGCACCAATCATTCACACATATATATATATATATATATATATATATATATATTTGTAAGATTCTGTATTTGATATTGACATATGTATTACTTTAACAAAGTCTAATAATCGGGCATAGCATTTAGAAACATAAATTTGTTCTAAAAACTTGTTTTACATCCTTATGATTCGGCTAAAATTCTAGCATTCACACAGTGGGAAATAAAAACTAAACTAAATGAAAACTAGTTGGTATTGGTATTTTACCTTGAGGCAAGTTACATGAACTTCCAGATATGTGTAAATAATCAATTTGATCAATGAAAAATAAATTAATTTATGAGTGATTAAAAGTATTCCGGGTGGATTTATTACACATCATTGAAAACGAACGAACACGTTAACTCCGAGTATTTTCTAGAAGCAACCATTTCAAAAATTAATAATTTTTATAATTATTTTATAATTATAACAGTTTCCGTAGAACTTTAGTGGTTTGGTATGTTCATTAAGACCAAGTACTCTATCGGAATACCCAGTAAATTGTCTAATTTTAATTTTAATAAACGTCAAAAAAACTATTCATTTTCTAAATTCCTTACAAAACAATAAAAAATGTGTACAAGGAATTCGCAATTATTTTTACACATGAATAGAATTTTGGTAAAAATATTTTTTTAAAATTATTTCATTATTATTTATTCAACCATTTTACTAATAACACATTAAACTGTCCGGGGGTAGTTGGTAATGTCTTTGAATGTATGTTCCGGATCACCAGTACGACCAGAAATTGTAATGGTAGGCTGGATCCGAGCGGTGAACAGTTGAATAGTTGTTGAAATATTATATTCGTGATGTGGACTCTCCAGAGTCCACTGGTAGTGTGAAAGGCCTTCAGAACGAACAGCGATTTGATAATAATTTGTAAACACACTTCTTTCTTTGAATGATACTTTTATTATTCACCATTTTTACAATCAATATTTGTCGATAACCTT